TATGAGAAAAGGAAAAAATGGAAACAAAGTCTTTGTAAATAGGGAAGAGTGAGGGGGTGAAGGGAGGACAGGGAATGGGGAAAAAATAAGAAATAAGACATATCATGTACAGGTGCAAATACCCAATGATAAATGTAAATGTATTCTATACCTAAAATGTACCAATAAAAGAATTTAAGGAAAAAAAAATGAAAAGCCTGAGTACAGCACCTGACTGCAACCATTTACCTCCTTCAGGAAAAGAACAAGACACAAAACACCTCTCCCAGGGCCCTGTCCTGGGGCTCACGTGGATACACTACATTTCTCATCATCATTTCCCAATTCAGACAGGTTTAGACATTAAAAGATGTAGCTGACATGTGAAGTCCTTCTGTTTTCCAAAAACTTCTATACTATTAAGATTCTAAACCACAAAGACATCCAAGAATCACACTGAAAATACTTCTTCCCTTAGTATTTATCTTGCAACTGTTTCAGGGTATAGTTCCTGCTACATTTTTTTAAGGTTTTAATATATATTAAAAACTCCATGTTCCTTACCTCAGAACAGTATTACATCCTGATAAACCCACTGTAAGAAGAAAATATTTTAACTCAATAGTACACTTCATTCACCTAATTTATCCAAAATCATAGCTCAGGTTGGCCTACCCTAAATGTGTTCAGAATATTTATATTAGCCCACACTGGGCCAGAATCATCTGACGCAAAATCTATCATTTAAAGTGTTGCATAGCTCCTGTGATTTCACTTACTATATGGCAAGTGAAAAACAGAATGGTTGGTATGTGTATGTTTCTGCACCATCATAAAACTAAAAAATGTCAAGTGGAAAGCACATATGTCCATGTCTCTTGTGAGTGTACGTACGTGTGTGCAAATCCACCAATCTACTCTCATCATGCCAAGGGGCATTTATCATCAAAAATTAACACAGACATTGTCACGTAATATCTTTCAAGATTTTTAGTTCTTTGCTAGGCTGAAATGAACCTAACCTAAGTAATCTGACTGGGTTCTTGTCCAAGTTCGTTTGTGACCAGAATCGTGGAAAGAATTAAGTTCGCAAACCGGAGGTGCCTCTGTATGTGAGAAAAAGAAGTTTAACTTTCACAAGTGAATGTTGGGTGGCAAGGTACAGTTGAGTGGTAGACTGTATGCTTACCATTCCCATCACCCAAAAATTAAATAAGCAAACACATGAATCAATAAACTTTAAAAGTAAAGGACTAGGGGCCAGGGATTTAGCTCAGTGGTTCCAATGCCTGCTTCACAAGCACAAGGTCCCGAGTTCGATCCCCGGTACCAAACAAAAAAAAGAGTAAATGACAAATTGTTCTCAATTCAACACAAAGTAAACCATATTATATTACTAACTGAAAACACCATGTATAACATACACATACATGCCAGGTCCTTTTCCAATCTGTTCTAAAGGATCTACTTGTCTATTCCTATAGCAATACTGTACTGGTTTAAGTATTGCTGCTTTGCATTATACTTTGCTACAGTAATTGCTTTTGTAAATGTAAGTTGTCCTTGTACTCCATGTTCTTTAGAATCTCTCTCATTTTCCCTCACCTCCTAACCTACATCCTTCCCAACACACAAACACCACTGTGTTTTAATCAGATATTACTGACCTATTTATTTTACAAACAAAACTTTGAGCTATGATTTGTATGATTCGTAGTTGTTAATGTGTGCCATTCTCAAGGTGGTTTACTGAGGTTTCCTCCAGGTACGACTCACCTTCCAGTATTAGAATGATGGTATATTTGAAAACAGCATCCAGTTTCATAGTTCATTAATCTATACAAAAATGAATCCTGCTAATTGTTCTATAAATATTTCTACTTTCACTTTCTTTTGGTTTACTTGACAATTTTTGGAAAGGGATGTACCAATATTACCCATTGTGGCTATGGCTTTAATAAATTTTCTATCGGGAACAGTTTGGGAATGCTATGTTTTTATGCTATGTTATTTGATGTTCAAAGGACCCTGAGAATTTCTAGCAGGCTATCTGAAGGGTCAATATAAGACACCCTCCCTTCGCTCCCCAAGGGGCCTTCAGAGAAACTGAGGTCCAGGAACCCTGTCTCCCCGCAGTAGCGCTGCCTGCCAGCACAGAGTTCCGCTACAAGAGCTCGACCTCCTTACTTCCAGGCCGCACTAGGACTCACCTTCTGAGCAAAACTGACTCTGTCTGTACTGTAACCTGGGCCGAGGACACTTTATGAGGGAAATGATCCCTTCCACAGTCATTACGAGGACTGAGTTTAGCCTACTTACTGACAAGTCACTTTAATTTTCCTGTTTATATTATTGTACTCACTTTGCCCTCGCTTTTTTCTGTGTCTGATTCAAAAGGTTTTGGAATCCACTTTTTCCCATTTTACAGTAATGTATGGCATTTTGCAGCTCATGAAATACGTTACATATTTGTCAAAACACTAACCTCACCAAGTTACGGTCCTTCATGTTATACAAGTTAATAGTAAATTATTCTAATGTGTCTCTCTCTGTTATGCATGTCTGACCAAAAATAACAAAACATACTCCATTTAGGGTAGTAATTATAAGTCTTTTTAAAATAAGACCCACTTTGGGGAAAAAGGCAGGACAAGTGACTTCATATTTAATTAGTAAGAAGTTAGTTTCATTTATCTTTTCAACAACTCTACATCCTGCAAAAGACAAAGCTCTTACCGTTTCTTTTGGAATCTGCATCTGGCTTGGCTCTGCATTCTAGAAGAATTGAAGAAAAACATAAATACAGACTGACCAAAGCCATCTACAACACACAGGGACATAACGTTCTCTTTCAAAGGAAATTGCATTGGTTCTTAAAACCCAGAGTAGATGAGGGTGGATTCAATGAGAGCGATGTACAACTCTGTCTTCCAAATGTTCACTGGTATGTGTGGTAGTGTGTGGGTTTTCAGAAGTTTTCCAAGATATCAATTAGTGTGTGCTCGTTCACGGTACATCATGAACTGATTTGTAGGAAAACAAATCTCCCCAAACTGCTCTCCTAATCATGGCACTGTTTCTGATTTTGTTTTTCACGTTCCCAAGCCAAATCTAAGCTTTGAGGCATAGAATTATTTGCTAGCTAGACAGATAATGACCAGTCAGCCACAGTCGGCACCACAGGCTTTAGACCTTAAGCTATTGCACAGGGAATAAAGGTGGTGTGTCCCCCATATCATACGAGAGCCTACAAAGTTGGCATGTGGGCTGATTGCTTTTGCAAAAAGGCATGTAAAAAGTATTTAGATTAAAAGCCATGGAACTGAAACAGAGACACCACAAACAGAGGAAAAGAGTTATCCGAACTGGATTTGAAGATCACTTTTAAACGCTCCCTTTAACTTAAGTTTTCCGAATTTTTTTTGCTCTTTTAAATCTTGAAAAGCAACAGCAACCTGCATAATAAACGGATGGCCTACTGGCTCTCTCCTTAATGAGAAGCTCACAAGCAATAAATTAAATAATGAAGAAAAGGGAAAAGAAGAAAAAAAAATGAGACAAGGCAGCAGATGGGGAAAACAGAACCGGGGAGATCCAACTTGGAGCAAAAGAACCTGAGGAACCTTGGACGGGCTCCGCTGGCAGTGGTTGGGAGGCTGGGGAGCAGCGTGCGCTCCAGCATCTAACGCCAGCGACCCCAGGCCTGGAACCCAGGAAGAATTCGAGCCTCATCAAATCCCAGAGAAAGCAGGGCTGTTGTCTGGGGAAGTGCTCATTTACAATTTAACAGAGACTTCTCCAGATTTAGGATCAGGTGGCATCTTAAGCACAAAATTGGATGGCAGTGGGGGGAACGGAAAACTGAACTTAAATGGAGAAATAATGCATTAAACATTGTTTAAATACAAAGAAGTTTCATAATGTATTTGAAATCAAATCTAAAACACAAGCGTTCACATTTCAACCTTATCACAGTCTGAAATTTCCACAAAATAACAGTTATAGACTTGTGTGGAACTAAGAGATGAAATATTTGTGACTAAAATTTATCTTTTATTTTTAAATATTTATATAAATATATCTAATTTGTGTAGATAAAATGTTTTATTTAGAAAAGAAAAATTTTACCAATATGACATATCCATAATCGAAAATACCACCTAAGAGAATTAGGTTTATGTGACTAACTTGGGAACTGTATCCCTAAGGTACAGATTAATTGCTGTCTAGATAAAGAGACATCAAATATTCTAACATGACTCAAGTAGAACCTGTCTTCAGATATTAAGGTACCATTTTTATTTGAAGCAACTCTATTTTCTAACCACATCAAAAGATAAAGGTTCTTCAAATTATGTCATTTTTATAAATAAATGGAAGTACCACTTACTGCTGGAAAACATTCAGAACTACATAAATTTAATATACATGTTTCATTCACACTGATGTCCTACAAATGCTCCTAACAGGCTTACTGATATAAGTATAGAAAGTAAAGTAGATAAGACACAAACAAATGATCTTTCATTTTGTTTATGTCATTCCAAACAATATTACCTATCCTGGGGACTAACAGTATGGGCTTCTTGCCACCTAAATCTATTTTCAACAGTAAGGAATTTCTGAAAGGCTCTTCCCTTCGTGTAATAGTAAGCAAGCATCTTTGCTTGGCTTAGCCACACCCGCTAAGAAGACAGGAAATGTGTCGGATAAGAGGAAAAGATGGCATGGTTTTGGTGAACCCTGGGGAGTGGCGGTCACAAAGCAGCTGACATCTTGCATGCAGTGAGCTCCTCTGAGAGTGCACAGCGACAAGCATTTGACATCCTAAGAACCATCCCTACTGTCTGGTGTTTAAACACTGCCACGCTCGCGACTGTGGGTATCCATGACTAAAGTAGAAAGCAGCAGAAAAAAAAAAAAAAAATGCTTGCGCTGAATTAGGGATGAAAGAAATGTAAAATATAGAAATTCCTTGGAAACTACTCCGTAAACATGCAGCATGGAGCTAACCCAGATGCCTGGCTCACGTGCATCAGAAAATCTTTCACATGCTCTAAATTTACACACCAGTTCCCTTGGGTGAAAGGCATCTTCCTGGCGAAAGACCAGCAGGCTCACAGTGCCCTCCATCTTGGTGCTTCTCAACAGGGAGACCACTTCCTCTTGGGATTTGCCTGCTAAGTCTACTCCGTTCACCTGAAACACATAATAAGTTTTCAGCAGCCACCCTCTGCAAGACAGCAGGAAAGACATGCAATGTAGAACAGACCGTATCTGCTGTGGGACATAACTCCTTTCAGGCTAATTCTGTCATGAGCTGGTAACCACTGAGTTGTGGATAGACAGAAAATCCACAAAAAAAAACTTAGACCAGATATCTGGAAGTAAACTAGGAAGCAATAAATCTTTTCAGTTCATCAATAAACCAAACACTACAACCACCAGGGCATTCACAAGTAACAAATACACCTGATGGCAAATAAATACAAAACTTACTGGCTTCAAAATGGGTTTTTTTGTTTGTTTGTTTTGTGTTTTGGGTGTTTTTGGTAGTACTAGGTTGGGAGCTCAGTAGTAGACCATTTGCCCTGGGTTCCATCCCCAGCAACACACAGGGGAGGGGAGAGAAAACAGACTATGTTTACGAAGAAAACACTATGAAAAATAGCTAATAAATTATACTCTCTCTCTTTCTCCGTGTCTCTCCTTTTTTTTGTTTCCCTGTATATACAAATCTTCCCACAAACAGAAAACATGTATATACTTCCAAGATGGCTTCAAACACCAACAAACTGAAAATCATGAAGAACCAAAAGGAAATTGTCAAAAACTCTTTTTCTTTTTCCTGACATTTTTTGGGTCTCAATGTGTTCTCCGTGCTGTCATTTGAAACTTTTCTTGCTCCTTTCTTCAGGATGTTGACTTCCTTCATCTTTGTTCTGGTAGCAAGGTTGATAACATGTCTATGTTGCTAGGCATAAATATAAAGCCATCTAGAAAAATAACCTTATAGATATGGTCTCATATAATGACAAAAATATTACCTCATCTCATAAACCAAGTCTGGGAAACTAAAAGTTATAAGTAACCCAGATGAAAAGGTAATTTCTCATCAGATAATGTGATAAAACAAAATCGAAGAGAACATTACTTTGTAATGCATACTTCTGCTAAAATATATACTTTAATTTCCTGTTTCATGAACATGTTTAAAAACCTGACCCTTGAAATCGGACCACTTCAGGAACTGCGGCACCCTGGAGGTAGGGAGTCCCTCACCTCTATTAGTCTGTCTCCAGCCTTCAGCCGCCCGTCCTGGATGGCTGCCCCTCGAGGGAGGATGTTCTTCACGTAAATTGGGGCTGAGCCACCAATTGTCACATCTCGGGAAGTGATGCTGAATCCCAAGCCTTCTGTACCTAAATATGCAACAAACACCAGTAAATGAAATAAGCTACCTTGGATTTTATACATTTGTCATACATAAATATCATTTTCTGCCTCAATTTGACATTCTGTAAATTTCACAATGGCCCACGTTTCTTCTACTACTTTAAAAGTTGTAATAAAATTTCCTGCTCTGTGTGTGTGTGTAGTTTTTTTAAGACAGGGTCTGGCTGTGCAATTCAGCCTGGCCTCAAACTCACTATGACCCTTCTGCCTCAGCCTCTCAATTGCCGGGATTATAGGCGTGTGTCATCACACCCAGCATGTAACAAATTTTTCAAAATGTGGATTAAATCATCGGAAGTTTAAATGGATTATCTATCAAGTCATTATTCTAAGAAGAAATGGAAATCTCAAACAAGAAGCTGATAAAGGTTAACATACAAATGCGCCTTCTAAAAGTTTTCAAGTCAACCTAAGTTTTGAGTATTAAATGAGCTTCATTATTCTACATGAAAAAGAAGAAGAAAGAAACTTCTATTAAAACCCATGGCACCTCAAATATCAAATTCTGTTGTATGGCAGTGATCTCCAGACTTACAGGACAGGGGCCGGAGGATAGAGAAGAAAATGTTCCCAGAGATGAGAACGATTTCTACCCAGGTTATGGATCTAAATCTCTTTGTTCAAGCCTCTCCTGGTTAACCCAAATCTTATGTTCATCCACCCATCCACACCATGACAAAAAAGGCAAACTGTTCAGTAAAGAATCCATCTCAGATTATAACTACCAGATCTGAGGGTCGCCCTATTATGTTTAAAGGTATTGGAATTAATGAGGCATTTATAAATTACTCTCTTGATTTCTATAATTTCAATTCTCAGTTCTTTGGCAGCTTTCTTGACAAGCAATCTCATAAGCTCAATACGGTGTAAAAAAGGGGTTATATGTCACTAGATCCAATCGGCAATAAGCCAAAATGTGCCAAGGAATAAATGTGGAGATAATGACAAACTTCTAATGAATCAGAGAATTTGTATAACACTTCTAATAATGAGCAATTTCTACCTCAGCTTCTTAAAAAAACTTACTTCTTAAGATAATAAGTTTTGTTTCAGTTAAAAATAATGTAAGGGCAAATACTTGCTCAATATGGGAAGAACAAAGGCATGTGTAAAGGCAAAAACTCTAGCAAAGAATGTATTAATTGGATGCAGCACTCGGTGTAAAACACAAAAGGTACAACACATAAGTGAACAAATAAGGAAGAGCAAAGAAAATGTGAGCTCCAGAAGAAACACAAAGCAGAAATGAGCCCTCCGTTACACCTATAACAAAACCTACCATAAATATTCTCAAGTTCAAACAAAACACACATTTCCCTCTTGTCTGAAGTGACTTGAATGTGCTTGGACTGCTAATTTTGTAATCTTCCGTGCTGAAGACTTGAATGGCATATTGTCTATATGAAATTTTCCTAACTGCTCTGCTGGGACCTTTCCATATGTCTCTGTGCTTTCACAGACCCCTAATGACTTACAATAACATTTATTAAGAAAGAATTCTAAATTATTCTCCTTTTGCAATATTAATTTGTATGAACTACAAAGACTGTTATAGGAGCTGCAATACTATTAAAATATAACCAATAACCCCTAAATTTGTAAGCTAAAAGTTCAGGCAATGACCTTTAAAAGAAAGATAAATAGATATCAATTTTCATTTAGCAAAGCCAACAAAACATTTTGCACTGACTGAAACAGAACACTGACCTTCTCCTCTGACTTTATTAAAAAGCTAATTTCTACCAAAGAACAGGGTATTTGAGAATGCCAAATTGCAATAAATATTAAGAAATCTTCATTATGGAAGCAAGTACCTGAAGGCTATTCTGTTTTGTTATGTGATACGACACAGGTCCCAAATTATGTCAGAGTCATTATCCTGAAGGGTTCCCTTTTTAGTGCTAAGAGTTGGTCTCAGTTTTCAAATAACTGCTGTCATTCAGGACACATTAGTTCACTCTGAACTGGTTTTAAAGTTTATCAGTGGCATAGACTGTTTTCAATATATTTCATTAAAAATTCTAGATGTGGCAATAATCAATAAAAACAACTGCTAACTACAGTGAAATCCTCTTCAGTTCTTATATAATCATTATTAGGAAAATATCTACTCGAAGATGATCAGTATTATTCTTTCCACTTATTTATAGGAAACATAACATGTTTGTATAAAATATTTGTAAGTATCAGTTGTAGGCATAGACTGAATGTGTTTTAGGTTATGCATTCTCACAGCTAGTCATTTACTATCAACCTAGATCCAAGGGCCTCTCTAGACAGAGTGCTTAAGGTCAGGAAAATACTTAAAACCTTCATTTCCACTTTCTAATACTGACTAACTTTAGTCTTTCTACATTACCTGATGTAAATACAATTGCATAGTACTAAATGCTATCAAAATAAAACTACTTATTTCTATATTCAAAAAAACATGGCTTTGATGGCAAATAAAATTGCACTTCACTCAAAAAGTTTATTTTATATCACAATGTGCTAGACTTACTAATTGTGCAAAACTATAACTAAATGCACATTTCTCTATTAGTACAAAAGAAAAACAATATTTATGAACTAATATTATTATGACAATGGTCAAGCAAAATATTGTGCCTTTGTTGAGAGATTCAAAACAGAATTTTATTTTTTTATAGCACTCTATCGGTGGTTCTGGATATGTTTCTGATTAAAAACTAGGTCCTGTCCTTGGAGAAGAAAACAAGGAGGAAGAGAAAATCAACTGTTTCTCCCATTTGGGACCTGAGCTGGGAAGGTCTCTGCTACCAACCTTGAGGGTTCCAGGGGGCCAGGCAGCTGTTGGTGCCTGCTCCTCCCTGCTCCTTCTAGCAAGGACCTGGCAGGTCAAAACAAGTAACCAGGGGAGAGGAGCCTGCAGTTCACATGGAGTTCAGTGCAAGAATGTGATTTAGAAAGTAAATAGCCCTTGAATTCATGATAGCAGCCATTCTTTCTGGAGTGAGGTAGAATCTTCATTTGCATCTCTCAAATGACCAGTGATGTTGAACATTTTTTCATATGTTTATTTGCCATTTCCACTTCTGTGTCTGAGAAATGTCTGTTCATTTCAGATGCAGACTTTCAGATTGGGTCTTTAAATTTGGGAGGTCTGCTTTTTTTAAGTTCTTTATAGATTCTGGATAGTAGACCTTTGTCTGAGGAACAGCAGGTGAAAATTTTTTCCCACATTATGGGTTGTCTCTTCACTGCTGGTGGTTTCTCTTGCTCTGCAGAAGCTTTTTAATAAGAAAGAGGAACCCTGCTCCACTGCTGGTGGGAGTGTAGACAGGTGCAACCACTGTGAAAATCAGTATGGAGACACCTTAAAGAACTAGGACTGAAGTCTCATTTGACCCAGCTATTCCCCTGCTGAGTATCTTCCCAAACGAATTAAAAGAATCATACCACAGTGATATATGTGCACCTATGTTCATAGCAGCACACTTTGTGATAGCTAAAACTTGGAAACAGCCCAAATGCCCATCAACTGGAGACTGGATATAGAAAATGTGGGGTTTTTTTTATGAAATGGAGTACTACTTAGCCATAAAAAATGAGAAATTAGAGACATTGATAGCTAAATGGATGCACATTGAGGTGATATTCTTAAGTGAAATAAATAGGACACACATGTAAATACGGAATAGTTTCTCTAGTGTGAGAAACTGAAAGTGTAAATGAGGATTAAAAGGTATAATAGGTAATGTGAAATAGGAAGAAAAGGGGCAAAGGGGAAGCGGAAGTGGGAGGAGTAGGGGAAAGGAAAGAAGGGAATGGAATTAATATGAGAAAATGAAAAAATGGAAACAAAGTCTTTGTAAATACAGAGGGATGGAGGGGTTGAAGGGAGGACAGGAGAAGGGGGAAAAATAAGAACCAAGAGATTATGGAAAGGTGCAAATTCCCAGTGATGAATGTCATTATATTGTACACCTAAAATGCACCAATAAAATAAAATAAAACTAAAAAGAGGTTAAAAAGAAAGAAAGAAAGTAAATAGCCATTGCAGAGCTTTCAACCTTGCAAACACGACCAAAAATGGAAAGCCAAATGCGCGGTGTAAACATCAGGGTGGGGATGCTGTCGGGCACCAATCTGAGGACAACAGCACAGGTGTGAGGGAATCACCCTCGGCACTGACTGCCACCTAAGCCTAGGAGTCGGTGAGCTCACAGAAATGTTTTTATAATGACGTCATTTCAAAAGACATGATTGTAAAGTATTTCACACGCTCAGCTGAATGGAGGACGCACGGTCCGTGCATCTCAGCACTTGGACAGAAGGCCGGCTGGGCGGCAGCAAGTCCACAGCCCGCCCTGCGCTGTGCGGCAGGACACAGGGAGCCAGCCTGAGGGAAGCGCACATTCAAATAACGCGCTAAGCGAGGCCAGAGCCACCCACTTCTCACACCACGTCACAGGAGCGAGGTAATGCAGCATTCTGGGAAACAGAGAGGCAGAAGGGAACGCCCGGCTGCCTGCCGAGCGAGCTGCTTGAAGCAGGATGGCCTCGCAGGAGCCGCGCAGGGCAGCAGCCGCACAGTCACCAGGCTGCACAGGCCACAGGGCTCAACCTCTCCGGAGCTCTTTGAGGGCTGTGTCTGGAAACAAGAGGTCAAACAAAACTGTCAAATCCTCACTGCTCAGCGGGGTGTGGTGGCACACGCCTGCAACTCCAGCACTCAGGAGGCTGGGGCAGGAGGATCACCCAGAGTTTGAGGCCACCCTGGGCTACACAGTGAGTTCAAGGCCAGCCAGAATGACAGAGCAAGCTCCTGTCTCTACCAATCAATCAATCATCTCCCTACTGCTTTGGTTTGGGTTGCAATGCCCTAAAACCAACTTCATTCATTACCAAAAGTTTACTGCCAGCTGTGCTAGCCCATGCTTTTAATCCCAGCAGTTTAGAAGGCACAGGCAAGAGGATGACAAGTTCAAGCCCAACATGGGCAACTTAGGGAGACCTTGTGCCAAAACAATATTTGAGGGCCGGGGATTAAGCTCAGTGGTTCCGGTGCCTGCCACACAAGCACAAGGTCCCAAGTTCGATCCCCAGTACCAAAAAGAAAAAAAAACACCAAACCAAAACAATATTTGAAAAAACGGCTGGGGGTATAGCTCAATAGAATTCCACTGTGTAAAAAAAAAAAAAAAAAAAAACACAGGCCGGGGATTTAGCTCAGTGGTTTCGCTGCCTGCTGCGCAAGCACAAGGACCTGAGTTCAATCCCCAGTACCAAAAAAAAACAAAACAAAACGGAATTCCACTGTGTACGACCCCCAGTAAAATAAACAAACACACACACACACACACACACACACACACCACACACAATTACTACAGTAGTAACTGCTAGCTTTTCATAAACATGTTGTAAAGTCTTACTGTTTGAACTTTTGCATTTTAAATTCTGTATAGAAAAATGAATCTGAAAAACATAAAAATATAATTTTAATGAAGACCTAAAATAAATGCAGTCTCTCTTTTAAAAAGTCTTTGCAGCAGTTTTTGTTACACAAGACTGTTAAAAAGCTCCAGCGCCAGGGTGGGGTGCATCTCGGGGTAGAGCACATGCTCAGCCCTGCCAGGCCCTGCGCTACATCCCCAGCCCTGCAGAAGACAAAAGCAAAAACCAGTTCAAAGCCAAGGCACTTACGGTTAGTTGGGTGACTGTTCAAAGCAATTCCACAGCCAAAAGCCAGCCAGTCATACCTTTCTTAAGCTGGATGCTGAGCCTCTTGCCCACTTTCTTGGTGTTATAACCACTGCCTGCACTCGAGCCCAGCACACTGTGCGGGGCTGGGGCTGCGGGTGGCTTCGCGGAGGGGTGTAGGGCGTGAGGGAGTCTCAGGGGAGCATCCGTCTGCTCGGAAGCCAGGCTCGCTCTGGGCACCCGGGCCGGCGCGTGAGGCCCGGCGCTGCCCGAGGCCCTGCTGTCCAGGAACTGGCTGTCGGGGCTGAAGCGGCTGGAGTAGTAGCTGCTCCTCTCACTCTGGGACAGCTGTTCGTACTGCTCCTTGTTGGCCGCGGGCACCACGTGGAACCAAATGATGGGTGTGCGCATGGCCTGGCGGAACATATGTTGTGCTCTGGGTGTGGGAAAGAGAGGAAGAGTAGCAAACTGAGACCGGCACACTCCCACATATCATGGGCTCAATTAAGTATACTAATTAAGCAGTAAGAACTCACAGACTGTTGAAACTGAAAAGCAAAATTCTGGTAACCCGTTTATTAATCAAGTTTACAAGCTCCGATAGAACCAGTGCTGCTTCTTCAAATATAAAATTCTCATTCCCTAAATGAAAATGGCAAAATTATCTACCACTCCAGATAAAATACTGTGCTCTCAACTGGAAGTCATAAAACAACAGTTTTAAATACAGTGGGGGCAGCCTTCTCTCTACAATCCTCACCAATACCGTTTGCTAGAGCTGTAATTCTTCCTTACAAGTGGGCCATTTGTGTTTTCAAAGAAGTAAAACAATCTTTATAATTATACTTAGAAAACTAGAGAAAGCAACTAGGGATGGAGTACTAATCGGCAAAGTTCATTCAAGTCTGTGTGTGGGAAAACCTCAGGGACTTCAGTCCCTGCAGAAGGAAACAGCTCGGGGCTCAGCTCAGTGGACAGGGCCTGCCGGGTAAGTGCAAGGCCGGGTTCTACCCCAGGACCCGGCTGGGGTGAGAGTGACATGGGGCACCCACAGACCCCCGCGACTTCAGCTGTTAACAGTGGTGGGGTCCCAGGGCACCCTGCGGCCGGGCGGAGAGGCAGCCCTCCATGAGGGCCCAAGTTCTGCTCACACCTGCCTGATTTTGTAGAAACTGGCTGACTCTTCTATTTCCTTTTTAATTGAATAAGGGCTTGAGTTAGGATAAAGAAGATCTCAGTGAGACAATATCCTGGCTCAAAGGAGCTTTCTCCTTATGTGTACAGTGACATAGGTGACAACCTGGAAATGTCTGAGTAAGTAAAACAGGAAGGAACACACCGGTGGCTTCTCTAAAAGGGGAGGAAGCAGCAGCCGACAGGGCCCCGCGCATTTCCCAAAGGGCTCTATGTGAGAGGGCGTTCTGCACACAGCCTAAGGGGAGTCATTACCTGGAGGTGCATTCAAATTTGAAAAACCAGATAGTGGCAAAAAACCCTTCTCCCCTGTACCCACAGATCACAGACGGTCGGGCCCTAGTGTCCTGCCCTGCCACACTGCATGCGCACACTTACTGCTCAAATCTTCTATTCCGAAGGTCGCCATCATTAATCCTTACAATGCAGTCATTCTCATGAAACAGGTTTTCTTGTTCAGCTTTACCACCTTTCTCCAAGCGTTTTACTAATAACCCCAGGGTTCTGGAACATTAAGAATGCAAACGTTACACATGTAATACTGCCACCAAGCAGTGGGCCCTACGGCTTTAATGCTGGGATTGTGTCTGCACAGACTCCCTTATAAAGGGGGGTTAAATCACTACTGAGAACTTCAGAATAACACCAACATCGCGGCAGCCTAAAGGACATGTACAAATGGGTCTTTCAATAAATCTAAGGCATCATTTTCAGGTTCATCAGCGTCACATTTTGGAAACAGTGCACATTACAGCTACAACGCTGCAAAGTGCTGGCCTGATACAGCGAGCATACACCTGTGGGAAGCCTTGCCAGGCTCCTGTGCTGAGCCAGCCAGGACACTGGATGGCACCCCTGCCTTCCTGTTCAGATAAAGGTAACAAACAAGAACCAAGCTCATTGCCTTGTAGGACAGAGGATAAGAACTTCAGAATGGAGGCATCTCCCTGCTTGGCATCTGAATTTATTAGGACCCAATGTGCTGAATTTCTAAACTTGTCAGTTCCCCCAAGTAAGGTAAATAATTTGTTGCCAGTATTTCCATTTGAAGAAAATGAGAGAAAGTCAGTGAGGAGCTCAGAAAATGCCAGTCACCCTCCACCTCTTCCCATGTGTGCTAAAACTTCAGGTTAAAAGAAATGTTTAAAGGAACTTCTGAGAAACTCAGAGAAAAAAAGTACAAATTGCTACTGTACTTGCTCTAGAACACTAACTTCTTAATTGACAGGGAATTTATATCTCCTGGGGCAAATAGTAAAAATTCTTGAGAGATGGAAGCAATAAGAGTCTTTGCTTAGCTCTGATTGCTATTATGTACTGAGTAGCTGGCATAAATGTTGTATCATGACTACATCCAAAATTCTAGGTGAAATTAACTTTGACATATTCAAAGTTTGGCTTTTCTTTTACAATCCTAATTGAGGGACCAAAACAGTGCTACAAGTAGAACCCTGTATATACAGTTTCTATTTTCCAACAGAATTACAGCTTGTAGTACCCTGTGTGTGCTTTCCAGTCAAAATATACCCAAGTAGATAGTGCCCTATTTTAAATTTTAGCAGTAATTGCTGCATCTATTCTATAGCCTTTTATTATTATTCTCTTGTTACATACGACTGTCTCTCTACGATAGCGCTGTAAGCTCTCATAGGATGGAGACGGCATTCTGTGACATGCACTCGAGAACTTAGCTAGTTAGTAGTGAGGTCTGGGAAATGACAACTGAATGAATGGATGAGTTTAGCTGGAGCAAAACAAAAAGTCTCATATTTCTAAAAAGCCTTTGCAATATAAAACACAAGTGAGCAGAATTTAGATTGAGTTTTTTCTTCCACTTAAGATATCATTTATATAAATACCAATGAACTGAAATGAATTGAAGCAAAAGTCCTGTTCCGCTTGTTAGTTTGCAGTTTACACTTGTGAATATTTATAAAAAACATTAAGTTCATCTGAATGTTTGTTATTAAATATAACAAAGAGGCATTATGCTAGGGTCAAGACCACCAACTTGCAAGAAAAACAAGTGGAGATGATTCTTAAATTGTCTTTTGCAATTTTGCCAGTTAAGGATTAACATCTATTAGTGCTGGCATCTAAAAATATGCGTGATAAAAGAGGCTGTAGTTTTTCCTTATTGCTATACAGTGCAATTATAACTAGAAAATTATCTCAACTCAATGAAACTTGACTGTCTCCTCAGTCCATAATTGGAAGGAAGGCATTAATTATGTTACAATCTATCTCCCAGGGATTCACGACTGTTTAAGTTTGTTTTTATCTGCAGTTGAACAGTGTTTTGTCAGAGGAATCAAATTATTAAACACATATCTGTGATGCTGCTGAATAGGAAAGGTTTACACGGAAAATCGAAACAAGGCACAGTCACCAATACCACTAGAATGCAGAGAAGTCACCTGGCCACTTGACCTACAAAGCAGCCAGGAAAAGAACAGCTTGAAGGTGAAGATGTCTCCATCACTGTGGGAATCATAACCTGAGCACATATGGGTGGGACCCTGCTGCTAAAAGCTACCCCCTACACCAAGGACAGCTCTTTTTTTTTGTATATCCTTTTACTGGTACATTTTAGGTACACAATATAATGACATTCATCACTGGGAATTTGCACCTTTACATAATCTCTCCTGGTTCTTATTTTTCCCCCTTCCCCTGCCCTCTCTTCAACCCCTCCATCCCTCCCTATTTACAAAGACTTTGTTTCCATTTCTCCATTTTCTCATATTAATTCCATTCCCTTCTTTCCTTTCCCCTATCCCTCCCGCTTCCCCCTCCCCTTTGCCCCTTTTCTTCCTATTTCACATTATCTATTATACCTTTTAGTCAAGGACACCTCTTTAAAGTGTGCAAATTCTGTGTCTGCAATAAAAGTCTGCCTTCCTATGGAGTGGGGCGGAGGAGGTAGCTCATGCCAGTAACCCTAGCAGTCTGAGAGGCTGAGGCAGGAAGATCACAAGTTTCAGCCCAGCCTGCCCAACACAGCAATTAATCAGATCTTGCCTCAAAATAAAAGCCTGGCTCAGGGACAGGGCCCTAGGTTCGAATCCAAGTACCCGAGAGGAAGGAAGGAAGGAAGGAAGGAAGGAGGGAGGGAGGGAGGGAGAGAGAGAGAGAGAGAGAGAGGGGGGAGGGAGGCCCTACGAAGACAGATTTCATTTAATTAATTAGTTTTTAATTGGACAAAGCATAAGTGACTTCTCAATACAGTTACAACATTTTGGCCATCTAAAATACCAGTAATTTGTATGTTTGTAAATAACTTAAAATCTTTTGTGTAATTTATAACAGCTCACAGAAGATTTCTAGAGAAACAGTTGTTGCCTATATTTCATGAAATTTATTTAGCACATAACTAGTACTGGTAATCTGTATAAAGTGGTGAGTTTATTTCCAACAGTTTAAAAGAGTGCTGCCTAACTTCCAAGTGTGGTGGGTCACACCTGCAGCCTCAGCTACCTGAAAGCTGAAGCAGGAGAATCACTTGAGTCCAGAAATCTGAGACCAGACCTCATTTCTGAATGGATGAACAAATGAATGAATGACTAAATAAATACAGTATGACTTAGACATCTACTCTTGTTTTACAAGCAACTTTTTTTAGATAAATAGGTCAAAAGATTTACATTCATCTAGGTAACAATTATTTCTCCCAGTAATCATTCTGGAACAGTAATCCTAAGTCAGAATGACTGTCTTTCTGAATCAGTCTTCCTCTACAGCCAAAAGCACAGGTCATCCTGACATACAATACAAGCGTCACTGATCAGAAGCACACTGTCACACTCACAGGAAACACAAGGGGAGAGTGTTAATCAAGGCTTGTGTACTCCTAACACAAACCTCAGTATCCCCTTCCCTGGGCTGCAATATGCCAGGCTGGGGCAGAAGAGGGGGGCGCACTCCAGTCGGACTGGGAATCAAGGAACAGGCTAAATCAGGGCAAAGTTAGTAGCCTGCTGATTTCTAAGTACTTGACCACACTATTAGAATCATTCTTTCAAAATGAATGAATTAATTCAAGAGTAAAGTGGTACAATCTGCAAAATTATCTCATTTCCACTAGGTGAAGATGATTACAAAAGGAATGAAAATGAATGATTTAAAAAAAAAAGACTCGTGAGAAAATTGAGCTGATAACAGCTAGACTGAGAATGAGAGGAAGCTCTGGAGGGAAATCAAGGGGAGCAGCCGTGGCGGACGCTGTCCCTTCCTGGAAAATGTGTGGGCACACACACATGTATTTCCGAACTTGCCATGTGCAATGTAAAGCTTCCTCAAATGATAGCATCAAAAGCACATCTTAGGGCATATTTTGCAAACCTAACGCAACAACTGGAGCTTGTTCTAAAGTAATAAAGCATCTCGAGGCTGCAGTGTGACCCCTACAGCCCTGGTGTCACAGAGACACTGGAGCCTGCTCTCGGAGACCTTCGGGTGTCAGTGTGCTGGGAGAGACAGACACTGCCAGAACTCCTTACGGGGGCGACCTCATTCCACCAGGAAAAGGAAGCTGTGCTCATCAAACAAAAAGGGAGGCAGGGAGGAGGGGGTGACAGACACAGGAGAAAAGGGCTGGTACGTGTATTAATGGGGCCGGCAGGACCATGAAGAACCGACTACAAGGTCCAGGTGTGCATGAAACGAGCCGATCCCACCCTCTTAGGAAGTCAATGCAAACCCTACTCGACTCAGATCCTTTCAAGCAGATAGATTTTTTCCTGGTTGACCTGAAACATCCTTCAAATCTACTCCTCTTCCACTGTTTTCCATAGCCTTCTCACATTTTAGAGGAGAAAGAGAAAGAAAAGAATTAGGTCCAGTGAGAACCACCTTACTTTCAAATAATTTTCCTGAAAATAAAACAAAAAAAAAAAACATAATCACATATTTCTTTCAGTCTTTTCCTCACAGTTTTTGAACAATGTTGGAAGAGGTGGGGTGGACAGTAGCACAAAACAAGCCACTGAAATGCTCCATCTATGTACATGATTTTGGATGCATAATTAGAAATTTAACTGCTTACATTATATTAAGGATTGCACCACTACATTTTTACAAGGTTCATTAGCCTAATTATACACTTAATTAACACAAACTCAGTCACACATGTTAACATTTTCAATTCTAAGTATAAATTACAACCAACGATAAAACTGAAAATAAGTAACAAATGTTTTATTGACATCTAAATTGGCTGAGTTAGTCTGAGTTTTGCTTTGATGATGTAAACGCCCACAACTGCCACCCAGCTGTATGGAAATGATCATAATTCATCGGAATAAAGGCTGACACAGGAGAAGCGCCATGGAGCAGGCAAAGAGTGAGCAGGCGGGATGGGATCCCACCAACAGGAACATGTCCCCTCCCCAGTGTGGCATCTGGGGTCAGCTGTGACCCACAGGACCCAAAACCACAGTCCTGACTCGGCAGACAGCCACCAGACAGTGTTTAAAGGGCTTATGTTAAAATTAAAATCCTGATTT